ATCCAATTTAATGCACACATCCTTATTTACGTGGGCAGTCTTTATGTTATTTAAATTGCGCGCATCTGTCCATCGGTGTCAGAACTGACGGACTGTCTTTTATCAGTCCCCCACACAAAAATCTTATTGTAAATCAGAAAGATGAAGTTATGTATTTTTTGTTGTTTGTGTAATTATTTGAATTTACTTTAAGATATAGGCTACACCTCATGTAATGTCTGCTGCCTTTAGGAATTATTCTGTATTTGCGTTTTATTTTTATAGGCCTAAATGTGCGCTCAGATGACTTGAAAGAATTCTAGATGAAATGTCTGAAAACACTAAAGTGATGGATTTAGCCTAAAACTTTTTTAATCTCCCCTACTCCTGTGAAATGCTCCTGCGCTTTGGGGGTCTTTCTTTTTTTGAGACAATGAATGGTTGGCAGAGCGAGTTCAACTGATTTCTTTGAAACACTTGTTAGCGACGGGAGGGCGGACGTCAGGGATCACAGAGGACTGAAACGCAATCTCTCATTTAAGGCGTCTCAGCGAGCTYATTCAGAGCAGCAGGTCTCTCCGTTTCAGGTTCAGGAATACAAGGTGACACTGGCGCGCATCAAGCCCATCCTCRGTGAGGCAGGACATTTGAACCGTGCGTAACTGCGGAGCCGGACCTTGGAGATTGAATTAATGTTTGGCACGCATTGTATCCGTCTGAATCAGCACCTTGTAGGCACTTGGAACGCACCTGGCCTCCCCCCTCGGGTGCACTTATAGGGCACAGATTTGACTCGTTTCCTCGTAGCAGCTGTTGCACAAAAAGCCTGCTCGCCATGGGGGAACGCGGCGTCCTGGGCATCATGTGTCCGAACAAGTACAGCCGCCGCTCCTCGTCGTCGTCCGCCAGCTCCATACGGGAGAATAAGATGTTCCCCAAACTCAAAGCCTTTTCCAAGGACTACCCGAAGAAGAACGCGGAGTTCCTCAGCGGACAGTACGGGACCAACCTGCTRCTGATCGGCGTGGCGCTGATGCTGGCCATCGCGCACCACGAGCCCTCCGTGGAAGAGGAGCACCTGCTGGCCTTCGCCACGGGCCTCATGATCCTGCAGCTCTTCTGGATGATGTGGTACATCCTGGTGCGCACCAGGCGCAGGAGCGCGCGGACGGAGAGGGACGTGAACGCCACCACATGCTGGATCAGAGGTAACCTTTGACACTTAWACGCGTAAATGTGCTTAAGCCAAAACTTACTGCAGTTATTAAACGCTTTAACGTTACCTGTAAAATTGGTTTAAGGCAGACTATGGTTATGCGTCTGTCTGTTAGTAACATTTTGCATGAACCACTGAACACATTTTATTGAAACTTGAAGAAAGTAATCACTGAATACATTTCTACAGCTCATTAGCTTTTGGAGTCGAGCCGATCCAAGATTGTCGCCACAGCTGACTGCCCTTTAGAAACACAATAATGGTTCTAACTCAGTCATTTTTACAGATGTGGAGCTAAAATTTCATGTGGTCGTAGATGAGACTGATACCCAGCATGTGTTTGCAGCGCCAACAGATCTTAGTGAAATCAAATCTGTGTGTCTGTTAGCAACATTTCTCATGAACTACTGAATTTATTTTAATGAAATGATCAGGAAATATTAACTAGATGTTCGTCTTAACGTAAGTGATAGATTTTTGAAGACAACCCAAATCAAGATGGCCACATCCGACTGACCACAAAAAACACATAAATAGTTATAATTTAGACAATTTCACAGAAAATGAGCTACATTCAGCATGAGAATCAGTCACACTTCATGCGTTACTCATCCCACATCTTTAGCGTCAAGCTTTAGATTTACCTGTTGGAGTCATCCCTGCAAGAACCAGACTTATTTTAATGAAACTTTTTTAGAAAGTAATCATTGGATGAACATCTATGAGATTCTGAATATTTTTTTAAACCTATTCAGTTAGAGAAACAACTAAAAAGATGTGGTAGTAGCTGAGAGTCATTCACAACACATATTCTGAGCAGGACATCTAACAAATGAAATTGTACATGTTAATTTTAAGGTTTGTTCAACACATGCCACTCTGATTTTTAAACATGAATGATCCTAATCTGAAATTTAGGCATTAATGTKTGCAGGTGATATGCATTTCTCCAGAGAATTTAAACTTTAATTTAAAATTAAATCAGTGAATACAGATGTTTTACTTGTGCCATAAAATCATTTTTTTTCTCTGTAGGTGGTTTGACTCTCCTTGCAGTCCTCTCTCTGATCATGGACGCCCTGAGAATTGGGTATTTTGTCGGCTACCGCTTCTGTTTGTCGGCTGTGATTCCGGTCTATGCTGCCATCCATGCAATTCACACCGTAGCTCAGGTAAGTTTCCAGACCTGGCTTCATTTCAATAAACTGATAATCTTCCATCAGGATTACAATCTGGCTCTTTTATTATCTGTGCTCCGCTGAGGAACTTTGGATAATGAGCTCTTTGTTGCAGCAACAATATAACCCTACCCTTTTCCATGTTATTTGAGTGTATCTTCATAGGGCAAGGCAAATCCTTATGGTAAAAGGGAGTTAAATACTCATGTACATGACATTTCTGCCAACTGTTAAACTTCTAAACATGTTTAAGACATGGGTTTTTCAAGATGTTTTTTTTTTTTCCTTCAGGTGCATTTTCTTTGGTTTCACATCAAGGATGTCATCAAAAGCTTTGAAACCTTCGAGAGGTAAATACACGTTGCACAAAACTTAAGGAAATTAGTGTTTGGTAGAAGATTTCTATTGTAATGATGCTTATTGGTAATAAATCTTGTACTTTTGTTAAATTCCCTTTTAAATGGTGCCACATTTGTAAGGAACATGCATTTATGGGATGAGCAGGAGAGCTGAGTATGTGGATTATGAAAAATGATCCAAATCTTCTCTGCCAAACAACTTATTTTGCTGTTCCTATTGACACTTGTTTTAAACTTCTGGTACCCCCAGGTACCCACTATAAGATATATTGTCAAGAAGCATTGTTTCAGCAAAGAAGTCATTCACCAAGCACTATTTTTTTAACTTTTTGTGCTGAGTTTAATTCTAATTTTACAACATTGTTGAGCCATGTTTTAATCTTCCCAGCTGGACGATCCCTGACTTTTCCACATTCTATTTGTCTCAGATTTGGTGTGATTCACGCAGTCTTCACCAACCTCCTGTTGTGGTGCAACGGCGTGATGTCAGAGACCGAGCACTTCATGAACGATCATGTCAGGAGGCTCACCGCTCTGGGATTCGAAAATATCACCATGGGTAAGGGGCCAATGGGTCGATTGCTGGCTTGTACCTTGAAGAGAGGGACAATGGTCCACTTGGGAGCTTACTTTAAGGGATGAAAGAAAAGTGAAATAGAGGAAGGTTTGAGAGGGGAGGAAGAGGGAAGCTTAGCTCCCCTTAGGTCTTGTTTCTGACTCTCTCTATAGGGTTTCACAGGAAACAGAGATTTGCTGGTGCCCTCCCCACCCCTGTGGTCTTTTCTCCACACTTCAGCCACCACTGCCCTCCTCTGGCAATCCCTCGCTTGACCCCAGACAGCTTTGTCAGAAAGCTGCTCAGTCCCAGGGGTGCTGCAATTACAGTAACTGATCCATCTAAGCCCAGGGTTGGGAGGTTCAGTTGCTCCTCCTCATATCCGGCCGACTGTGAGGGTGGCTGCACCCTGACTGCCGTTCCCCCTTTTAATTAAAAGGTGCAGCGTCGCAACAGTGGCCTTTTCTGGGTTGAAGGGCAGGAGGGGGGAGGGGCAGGGGCACACGGCAGGGTTTTGTTAGGATGTGGCCCCAAAGGGCAACCAATAAGCARCGCGGGCCGCCGTGGGCTTTACGAGGAGTGAGTAAGTATAAAACATACATTCATCAGCAGGAGTGTTCAGATGATGGCTGAGGTTTCACGTTAGCAAAATTTAACCGAGAACGACAATGGAGGTACTTGTACTGGAGGATTGTAGGGCGTCAAGTTAAGCTTTACCCTTAGTAATACAGATAAAACTGATTAAAGGCAGTTCATATCATCAGGCAGTTCATGTTTCATGATTGCATTTCAATTTAGAATAAGTCCGTTTTAATCTTCAACACTGTCCCTTCATGAAATGTTAATCTCTAGTTGTGACTTGTTTGACAATGAGTTTGTTTACACTTTGGTATGTTTTGGTCATTTGTAGTTCCCATCTTTCAGGCATTTTAGCATGTTTTAATACTTTTCATTACAACTGATTTCATCATGATTTCATATGTATGTATGTATGTATGTATGTATGTATGTATGTATGTATGTATGTATGTATGTATGTAT